AACCAAGCCACCATTTTTCCCCAGACAGAGGAATAGCAACATGATTGTGAAGAGACTGAATGAACATAGATACATGTTTCTAACCTTGCATGTGCATAGAGCTCTCTATAGAGACAAATTACTATTTACAACAGGGGACAAAGATATTATGTACCTCCAGGATATACTTCAGCTCTTGGAAGTTGTATGGACCCCCAAGGAGGTTGTCCACTGCAGGAGACATCATAAAGGAGGATCTGAGGAGCAGATGGACAATGACAGAACTGACCAAGAGGCCAAGGCCATAAGTTTAAGGTCAGATGCTATGCTCCTTCCCTTAATCTCTTGGAGAGAAATTTTTAAAACTGGTGTATTCATCAGAAGGGCTCCAATGGGTGGCCAAAGAAGGGGGAACCATAAAGCAAAACGGATGGTATAGACTCCCATATAGTCAGTCCTTAGGATTCCAACATGCAGTCCACACATGAGACCGCCCATTTAGGGAGAAAAAAAAATTAAAGACACTGTTCAACTGTTATGTCTTTGTTCCTCAGATGTCAGCCCTGACAAAACAAATTGTCCAATGCTGTGTCATCTGTGCCCAACACAACCCTAAGACAGCATTGGAAATTCCCATAGGAGTCCAAAGAACAGGGAAAATGCCTTGTGAGTACATCTGGGTCAACTTCACAAATGCAGAGGTTTGTATAATCTCTTGGTTGCGGTTTGTACCTACTCCAACTGGGAATGTTTTCCCTTGTCAGACTGAGAAAGCCAAAGAAGTGGTATGGAAACTGCAATAGGAAATTGTTCACCTCCATAGGATTCCTTTGATCTTAACACCAGACAACAGCCCTGCATTTTTGCCAACTGTAATTCAAGGGGTGGTAAAGACATTTGGGGTTAATTGGAATTTACCATTGGCCTACTAGTCACAGTGCTCAGGAAAGGTGGAGAGGATAAATAGTACCCTAAAAGCAGGATTAGGAAAACTTTGCCAAGATGTCAAACTCACGTGTGTCTAAGTCTTGCCTATTGTGTTACTCTGAACATGTTGTACTTTCCACAGGAGAACAGGCTATTCACTCTATGAGCTTCTGTTTGCCAGGCTACTCCCTGTCCTAAGAGGACTAGCACACTTCATAGGTACATTTGGAGGAGGTACCTCAGAAAGACAATTGGTTGAACAAAAAAAGGTCTCCCAAAAGATAGCTTTTTGGGCCTTAGAAAGTTCCCTCATTAATATTTCTAGCCCACTCCACCCTTTCTCTCCAGGAGATTTGGTCTGACTAAAAAACTGGGAGACAAGACAGCCTTAAGCCCAAACAAAACATTCCACTAACAGTCATTCTGACCACCCCCATGGAAGTCCAAATGGAAGGAGTTCCCACATAAATCCATCATAGTCAGGTGAAAAAAGCCCCAGTTGCAGAGTGGAGGTGTTTCAAAGACCCTCATCATGGTACTAAGATCATCCTGACGCAGAGCGGACCTTCATTAGGCCAGAAGATGTTGGCTGCAATCTCAAAAACATCACTGGGAGAAAATGGCCCTGCTCTAGTCACACTGGAGGCTGACTAGTCTATGCAGAGCAAAAGCCTGAGGATGCCATTCAAAGGAAGATGCCTTGCTTCAAAACTGCCTGTAATGAACTTCCATCCCTGGTTTTTAATTGTACTTGGGTCATTAACCTTGCTTTTTGCTCTATCCCTTGGCCAAATGAAAACACAGCAAAAAGTGTCTGCTAGCTCTCACCTTCTTCCTATGGGTAAGAAGTTTACTGGTATCAGCTACTTATACTAGAGATGCTTGCTTATCTCTTCCATGCCAAGAACAACAAGGACAGGGGTGACTCATAACTGAGAGCCCTGCCTAAATGATACCCAATGGGGAGCTCTGTAATGACTGCTTTGCTTTTCTATACTGCTATAATTGTGATAAAGAAATTATCTTATCAGGACTTGCATGCAGGAGATTTATAAGCCTAAAGATAGTGCCCCAATCCTCTGCTTCGATCCAGAGATAGGGACCACCTGAGAGTGTAAACTTCTGACTGTGTCTAGGTAAAAACAAAACAGCAATAACAAAGAAACCATAAAGAGATGATAAATGGCCACCAGAGAAAATAATCTAATACTATGGGCCAGCCACTTGAGCCAAAAGTAAAATACGGTGGTATCAGACTCCCATTTACCTTCTAAATAAAATAATTGGGCTACAAGCTGTGCTAAAAATCATAACAAATAAAACTGTTCATGCACTAAATCTCTTAGCTAAGCAACAGATAAAGATTCAAAATACAGTATATGAAAATGGATTAACATTAGAGTGCCTACTAGCCAAAAAAAAAAAAAAGAGAGTTTATGGAAAATTTAGTTTGACCAATTGTCACCTACAGATAAATGATCAAGAATGATGATAGAAAAAGGAAGAGCAGAAATTGCCCATATACCAGTTCAGACCTGAGAAAGACAATATCCAGAAAAATTGTTCAAAGGATGGTTCTCGGTGCTAAGGGTTTCAAAACAAGGGTAAAAAGATTTATTGCTATTAGGAAGATCTGTTCAATTATCCGTGTTTACTTATGAAAATGCAAGCCTTAAGCTCCATGATAAAAAAACACCATAGGCCGAAAAGAAGCCTCCAGGATCTTGTGGGCTAAAGCATATCAATCTATGAAAGACTATATAAACATAGACTGATAAGATAAAACCCAATGTAAATGATACAAACTGATATAAAATTGAGGCTCTTTGATCAGAGCCTCAAAGAGGAGTGAGAGAGGAGGCCACCCCTCCAATATGGAATTGGGCAGCTACGAGTAAACTGTATTATTAGACAACTAAGGGTTAAGTAAGTAATTATGTTCTTTGTAGAATGCACCTGAGTAACCATGAGAACTGCTGTAATCTGTCACCAAATGAACATAACAAACTCAGAAAGTCCTGCCAGAACTCTTTGCTCCTCCCCACCCCTACCCCCCTTTTCTGCTTTGTGTAAATCCTGCTTGCTAAATTCCCAGGGAAACTCCAAAAACTTAAGCCTCATAGATGTAAAAAGCAGTATATAAGGATAGAAAGCATCTATTTTGTGCTCTTGAAGCTGATAGAGTCACTCATTGAGCCACTGGCATTATTAAAGCTGCTTTTCGCTCCTAACTTCATGTTTGAGAGCTGTCTGGGATTCTCCAGAAGTTTGCTGCTGCAAAACTACTGCTAGATGAAAGAGGGACAGAAACAATTTGGGAAGGCTGGTGAGTCCCCATAAAGAGGGCTCCAGACAGACAAAGACTGAGATTTTTTGGTTTTAAAATAATTAGTGCTGTACACAAACCCCAGCAAAACAATAGCTAGCCAACATTTCTAGAAAAAATTCATTGCTAGGAAAGTAGGCACTGGTAACATTTTTAAAATGCTTATTTATACTTTATTGTTTCTCATTGTTATAACACTTGGTAATGTTAAGTATACAAACTTACTCATAGATTAGTAATTATGACAGTAACTAGAACTATTAGAGCAGAAGGTACATAAAATAGAGTCAGAATTTGGTATCTGAGAAAAAAATCTCAGGAGAGTTGTGTGATTACAGATTTCTTCTTCATGTTTAAAGATGCTCCCACTCTCTCTGCCTACCCACAAGGATACATATCGTGGGCCCACAAGTATGTGCTGAACTGGTGATGTAAAAACATAAGAGTACTTATCCATGGTTCTTTCCCTGATAGAAGTAATATTGACCTCCAGGATACATCTGCTCTTCCCAGAGCGGGCATGGTAGCTACTGACAGGAAGCAAAGTACTTTGTTCCTTGGAGAATCAGGTCCAAGATCTGGCAAAATACAAAACAACCTTAACTCCCATAGCCAAGATCACACACACACATGTCCAGGTCTTCTGAGGCAGTTCTTCCCCAAGTTGCATGTCTTAGATTTGAAAATCAGAATTTGAATCCTAAGTACTGGAGAGAGGCAAGTCTAAATCTAACACATTTTACATCATCACGCAAGAACCAAAATTTACACTTAAATTTAAAAGCATCTTTTATTTTATTTACTTGCCTGAAAGCAAAGAGGCTTTCAATTTGCTTTGGACACATTCATGTACATCTTGGTTTTCAAAATCATCAGCCAAGCAAACAGAAAATGCATCGATGAGATCAAGCAGATGTTGACACTCACCAGTCCCTCTCGTGTACTGGGCTGTCTCACTGGAAGGACAGGCAATATGGTGACAGCACCAACTCACCACTGGAAAGCTAAGGAAGCACAATGCACACACACAAAAAGAAACACTTTTGCAAGCTACTTTCTACCCAAAGTTCAAAATTAGTGGAAATGGAAAATGAAGCCTCAGATCTCAATTCTCACATTTTCTCCTGCTCTTCACTTTCCTCCACCTATCAGTCTGCTGGAAAATGTCACCATGACATGTACATTATCTATAAGATGGACCCAGAACATATGCTCACATCATCTGAGAAGGGATATTCATCCTCAGCTTCCTTTCCAGTCTAAGGAAGAATGTTTGCATTATCTATTACTTCAACAAAGAGAACCGAAATCATATGCAAGTAAGCATGGGGTGAATGGTTAGCACATTTGAGTTAGATAAATTATTTAGGACTAGAAAGCCTATCTACAGGGGTGCTATACCATTCTGTGTCTTTCTGACATCACAAGTTCAAGCAAGTGCCTTTCTTCCTCTTTAATACTTTCAACTCTGAGAACTCCTTATTATTTTATGCACTAGGACAAACACCATATAGAAAAATCCCTGTATTATTTATCTTGCAAGACGATGGTTCCATATCCTAAGCAGGGCACTAATATTGATGTAATCCATGGACATTTGCTGTGCTTTCAGATAAATGTAACCCTTTGTGAAGGTGGCATTTCTGTAACCATGCATCAGGATGGACAGGCTTCAATGAAGAGCTGTACGTTTATAAACTGGATGTTTGCTGGGTGAGTGCGGTGAGACAGGCAATGGGAAGCCATTCACTCCTGATCCAAGCTCATCTCACTGACCACACTGACCACAGAGCAGGAACATTCTTGCATGTAGTTTCAGTTTGCGGTTTCCTAAAATTAAGATGACAGAGTGTATACATGGGTAGGTGCCCGCCACCAAGGTGCAGAGCACAAACAGAAGGCTTCCAAATGGCAAAATGTGAAAAAGGAACAAAATAATCATCAGGTAGTGGGAAAAGTAGAGGATTAGGAAGGACAGGATGGACAACATGGCACTGAAGGGCACACCCCTGCTGGTGTTTGTGGTCCCCACAGCAGTGGTTCTCATCTGTTGACTATGTCTCCCCAGGGAGAAAATCAAGAGCAGAACAGCAATGAGGAAGATAATTAATGGCACTGTAATATGAAAAAGCAAAACTGACGATGATATCACGTCTATTACTTCGGTTTGACTTGCATTTTTGGGGAAGGAGTTTATAAAGAATTTTTTGGTGCAATTCCATGTATATTTACTATAGAGGCCAACAGTGACAGATGTATACAGTACGGACCCCAGGATCAGCCATGGCACCAACTTGGGCATCCTCACCTTCAGCCAGAAGAACAGTGGGTGTGGGAAGGTGGCGATCTTGGCGCAGTAGAAAACACCAAGCCATGTGGCCAACCAAAGCCCACAACTATTTACAAACATGAAAATTGCACAATGCTCAAAGAGTACCAACTGTTCCATGAAGGAGAGAAGAACAAGATGTGCAAGGAAGATGATCACCTGCAGACAAATCCTCGAAGTCGCCAGGCAGGAAATAAGCAGATCCAAAGGAGCCATTTTTCTCTGCTTGATCAGGTTCACGATGTTCACCAGCACAATGAAGCCATTTGCGAAGACCCCAGCAAGCAATTGTATCGCTGCTATAAGAAAATGGATAATGAGTTGAGGAGTTTGCATGTTAGGAAGAAGAAAATCAGTTACTTCTTTAAAGATGTATAGATTTTTGGGCAGTTTCAATTATTCACACTTTCTGTTTTTCTGTAACCAGAGCAGGTCCCTCTTTGAGGAGCAGAATTCCAACCATGAAGCCAATGGAGTAGGAAGGCAGTGTGCCTTTGTTTACATCACTGCCTTCCAACTTACTTCTGAGATATTCAAATAAGGAAGAGATACACAGCGATAGTTTGCTTCTTGCTGAGGGCTTTTGCATTTTTGTGGTCTTCTTAGCTTTCAGAGCCACCATAAGCAAATTGTGGCACTGGATACCTTCAGATGACGGCTGGTAGTCTCAGCTGGAGAACCAGCCAGAGCTCCACAACCTTCATCTCTACCATGAGTTCCTAGTTGTGCCACATGTGTGATTCTACTTCAGATTTTGAAGGTGTTCTTCAGAAAACACTTTTTAAAAGAAAAATGGTCATTTATGGTATCGTGATGCCCTGTGGCCAGCATAAGACTCCTACGTACTGCTTCTCTAATGTGCAACATCTGAGCAATTGAGGACTTCCTAAAATTTAATGTAGTTTTATAATAATATATAGGGTGCAGTACAAGGGATCACTAAATATAAAAGCAAGGCCATAAGGGTTACATACATAGGTATACACTGGATCAAAACCCCAGTGTGAGACCAACTGAGGGCCTTTAATTGTAGGGACATACTTAGAATTGCAATATTCACTATTTTAATATTCAAGTTGTTGCAATAATCATATTTTAAAGGTCACTGTATAGGGTAGCTTCAGAAAGGACTTCTTGAGAGGGTGAAAAGTCCTAGGCTTTTTTTAGAGAGTGGAAAATGCAGGCTCTGTGTGACTATGAGCAGCAAACAGTTTTGAAGCAGCTTTGTGATTTAAAGCTGACAGCCTGTAGTTTCACAATTGTGTCTGTGTCAGCTACTACCCTGCATAACTTTCCCTTCAAGAAGGAAACCTCCCCTATACAAGCTTCTATGAAAATGCCCCTGTAGCCCAAAAGACCTAACCCCTAGCCACAAGGCCAAAATCCAATCCATCAAATGTTGACCCTCAAGGGAGTGGAGATGGGACCATAAAACAGGACCACAACCTCAGATACAATGATGTCTTAGCTCTAAGCACTCCAATTCCTTCCCTGGGGTGGTTTTGTACTGCTTTCTGTACAATCTACAATGTAAATACTTTTGCTTTGCACTGGTCTTCTCTGACCCCTCTTCCTCTTTCCACACTTGAAAGAGAGACAGGCTAAGTGGGGGTGAGTCTGGTGGCCCCTTGGCCTCAGACTCACTGGATGTAACAATAGAAGTACACAGACTTAGTTTTCTCAAGTAGTGACATCAACTTCAGTCACTGCATTGTGTAGGGCTCCTAGGGAGGGAGAGAGTGTCACACTGGAGTGTGCACAGCACTTGGAGCTCCTTTCTGAAACACAGCAGGCTGTTCCCCCAGGTATCTCTGCAGGAAGAGCCTGCCTTGAGGCCCATACTCTCTTCAGAAGCCTTCTCTGGAAGCCACACTAACTGCAGCACAAACTGACCTCCTGCGGTCATGGGTGTGAACAACACAGGACATCTCAGGGCTTCAGAACCGTGAAGTCCAAGCCTATTTTAGCCCATCTTCATTGCCAGTCTTCATACTATAGCATGGGGGTGACAACAATACAGATTTTATCTGGCTCCTGGTTCTGGGCTGAGGGCAGGGCTGCATCTCCTACTGACCTGGGCAGCAGGGGAGAGACGGTGAGATCACACGTGGTGGCTGTCCCTCTTCTTACAAAGCCACCCCAGGGCCCTTCTTTGTTGTTTTCATCCAACTGTACAAACCCCAAAGGATTCCACCTCTAAATATCACAGCTGGTTAAGTTTATTCCTTCTTCATTACTCATAATGGGGACCAAGTTTCAACACAAGAGTCCTAGGTGTTGCAGAATTTAAGAGATTGGAGAGACCAACGGGTGAAGCAAGAGGATTTATTTAGGTGCACACAAGCTAAGTTGACTTGTGTCCAAAGTCTGAGCCCAGAGCAGAGGAAGATCTCTAGTGCTACGTGTGTTGCAGAGAGAGATTGGTTTACTGAACAGTGCAAAAATGTGTGGACAGAAGTAGAACAAAGGCAGTTAGTAAAGCTGTGATAGTTTTGTAACTTAGCATATGTTGTGGTCATGGTGATGAGAAGAGGAGGTTTTCAAACTATTCAAAGGGACAGAGTTACTTGTTTTATTTGTAACAAAACAAAGAACAACAGCTGCAGAGAGTGGGAAGTCTAAGTGGGACTGCTTAGGTTTTTCTTCTCTAAAGTCCTGTCCCCCCCTTAATGCATTCCATAAATGAGTTGCAAGAGAGAGCATCCTCATCATCATTCATGCACCTTTTTACAGGGTGGGGGTGCGCTTTCCTATTAGAGAGGGGTTGGGACTTGGTCAGAGTCATTGGCCAAATGGTGGTATCTCTATCTACCAGGGTCTCTATGGCCACCTGAATGTCTTTGACAAGCTGGGGTTAAAGACAAGGAAGACTGAGAAGATCTCCCAAGATAGCCACAACTATTACTATCAAGTTCTTGAATCCCCCAGAGGATGAAAGCCAGCCTCCAAATGGGGAATCTAGAGGCCATCCCTTCCATTTTTGGACTGGGACATTGGCTAATATCTGAATTCTTGCAGTAACATCTGTGATGACCTTTTCCATTGTCATCAATCCCTAGGCAAAAGTTAGTTCAATGAACTTTCTGCTCACGACTCCTTTCTGGGCTAGGGGGTATTCCAAGGCCATAATTTCATTAATTATATTTCTAATTTTTTAGCTTTATTGGACAAGCAGATTTAGTTAGAGCTTGTGGTGATATTGGTAATGGGCTCAAGCACAGCCTGTAGTGTTATGATGCAGTTAGGCACATAAGTAGGCGTATTGTACCCCACATTCCATCTTCTACCCAGGTAACTGGGTTGTAGTATTGGATAATTCTCTCTGGGTTCTACTCATCATATTTCCAATTTCCTATTGTTATGTCCCTTTTGATTCTTTTATGGGCTTCTCCATAGATAAGGTACCCTAGAGTTAGTCCTTGTCTCATTGTGATTAGAATGAAGGATGCTTTGATTGTCCCCTATATACAGGTTCCTGACCATTTAGCTGGCAGATGTTGGTATGCCTGCACTCCACAGACCCAACAGAGACCAGAGGGTGCTGTTCTGTCATTTGGAGCCTCTAATGTGTACCAAGAGTGGTTTAAAGAGGGAAAGCGAGGGAATGGATTGGGATGGGGTAATTGAGAACAGTTTTGTTTTCCCCACAACACAGTTTTCCCCAAAGCCTCATAGTATGGTTGCCCTGGAAAAGTTGGCTCTCCCACTGAATCTGAAAGGCTTCCCAGGCAAGCAATGCAGAACTTCCTAATGAGAGAGGTTTTTAAACATCAGATGCTCAGGTTTGTGAGTCAGATGTGGGTAGTGTGAGGCTGTCTTCTGGAATTAATTCTCTTGTTTCCCATGGCCATTGGTCTCCCATGCTAGTTCTTCCACAGACATAACATGAGGAGATATTGAGGTTTCAGGCTATATTTTCAGCCAATTGGGTGAGCAGGTTTCTGGCCAGTGGAGGAGTGTTCAGGCAGTTCCTGTTGAATATGCTCGTGGAATGAATCAAAGACTTAAAATCGTTGGACTGAATAGGTCTGAGTTGTTGTCATCCACAAGCCCGCTCACGGAACAAGGTTCGGGAGCACGAATTGGGAGGGTAAGGCACGGAATCACCAGGCAGACTCCGGGGAGGTTTCTGGAACGCTTCCGCTTTATTCAGGAAATGCACAGGCTTATATAGGGACAACCATGGGGGAGGAGCATGGGAAGAGCATTTAACATTTGGCGATATCTTATTGTAGGCACGGTGGATTGATTTTTCTTGGGCGAGGTGAAGGAGTCACGGACTAGGGGCGGAGGTGTAGCCTGTTGGACCCAGCATCTATGCATTTAGGTGAGTTAGCTCAGCCTTAGCAAGGTCTCTGAGTTAGCTCAGGAGGCAGGAGTGCAGTGCACCTGGCCCAGCCAGGCTTGAACTTCTCCCACACTGTCTTTTTTTTAACAAAATATACATAAGTCTGTGGGTTTAATCCTGCATAGCAATGAGATACTGTCATAGCATAACCCACAACCCATATAGGCAGATCTATGATGGTGGTGATTATAGGATTACAGGATTTTTCCTGATAATTTGGTTTGGTAGGTAATTTTATAAGGGTTGTAGCCTCTTGCTCCAATATTTGGGGAGTGCTCTTGCTGAATGGGACAGTAGACCAGGTTACACATTACCAGCAGAACCATCTGGTGTCTTGTCATGCTTAGGGGGCAGGGGCCATGGCAATGGCTAATCCTTTTCTGTGGTGCACACAAGAATATAGGACTATCTCAACTATCTTTCCTATGATAGACCTCCACATGAGGTTGCAGATGGGCTTAGATATGTTGCTTGGCATGTATCAAAGTACAAAAATATGGCCCCTTTATGATTTGGAGGAACATTATTTGTTTAAGAGGCCATTGTCATCTGTTTCCTCCTTCCCAGCATGGACCTCAAAGCAGTTTTATACGGTGGAAACTTGGAGATAAAATAGACATTAGGCTGTCTGTTTCCTGGATCACAAATTGAGTAGGTGGTTTGATTATGAGTAAAAGCTTTCAGTGTGTTCCTGTACATTTTTGATAGGTGTGATTCAGAAGGGTTCTTATGATGATGCTCCCTGACCATGCAGTGTAGATGCACAGGGAGCATTCTTCTAGAAACTTCACTCCTAGCAGAGGCAGAGAGAGAATTATAACAAGAAGGAAATAAGACTTATGCTGTCATTGTAACTCCATGTTGATCCTGAAGCTTCACCCTTATGTGGACTGATAAGCATCCAGAATGAACAGTTATTTTTCCCTCAGGCCTCAGCTGTCTGCAGACCAGTCATCTTCTAGAGTGATTACAGAAGGGCTGCCATTTC